CAACGTTGGAGCAAGAACTTTGAATCGACTTATCAAAAAAGTAGTATGGCCAAATAATATTATATGTACATTGTAAAAGAAACGTTCAGCCAGATACAAGTGAAAAAAGGTAAAGTGGTACTCATTAGATACTGGTAAAATACTTATTTTCCCAGTCATTTCTAGGTGTTCTACAAATTGCTCAATCACTGAGAAAATCTATGAAACTTACTACAGTAAGTGGGATAGTGATTAAGTGGCGATTTAGGGCCACTTAAAAATTATCTTCAGTGAACTGGCACTTCACAAATTGAATGTATAGGTAAAGTGGTCATGTAGGAAAAGTTGCAGTGAAACAGTCGTGACTGATGAGCGATAGAATGTATGCTTTCGATTTGCCCTTCTTCTTGAGAATGCCCTTTGTTTCAATAACTAATCAAGCTAAGTGGTCTTATAAGATATCATGGGAAACGTGGTTACGAAGGCAGTACAGCCCCTGCATAATCGCGGCTAGGAACGATGTCCTCGCAGATCTCACGCTTTCACGTCGTTTAATCACTTGTCCTGCCAATCTTATCATGTTAGCCTTGACTGAGGAAACCATGAAGAAGGATATCGCATCCTAGAAGGATTTGTGCACTTAAACAGTGCGCCTCTACCTTAACCAAAAATCGATATGTTGAGAGCAGCGCTTCATGAGGATGGCGAAAGGAAGAAAAACTTGTGAAAGTCCCTATAATAAATCCAAATATTTAAAAAGACTATATGTAGGTAGTTTGAATTCCCGCCGTAAAACTTCCACAAATGCCGACATTCTGGAACAAATCGTGGAATGGTTCACATTAGATCTTCACAAGCATGACCCATGTCGGCGCTCATAATGTACACAACGGTGTTCCAGAGCCCATAATGGCCCCGCCCCAGGTGCCACAGCCCTTCCGGGTTGATTTTGAGGAATTCGTATTTTAATGCTCGGAAGTTTGCTCATGTTCTTATTTTTAACACATACAACACAATCATGCGGGAAAAATGGAACACAAATCCCGTGCACGATGCCTTTAAGGGTTAGGCGGTCAGTCCTGAACTGGCACGCTGGGAGTTGGCTTTCATTAAGTCGTTGTGATCATAGGACTGTGAAAAGGTAATTTTTTGAGCCAGTTTCGGCTTAGACGACGGAACAAGTGCGTGAAAATATGAACTGCTTGAATTTAAAAATTCAAGACCTGAAAATCAAATTTTCCTATGAACCTAAAGAATTATAAGAATAAGACAATGACAGGACAATAAGCTTATTTCATTCTATTAGAAATTTTAAGGAAGCTCTGTAAAGCAGAAAACTAGCTCACGCGCTCAGCTCTCATCCTGTAATGAGCGATGGCTGCACTTTTATAATGGAGAAGACAAAAATGAAGAAAAGAAACGAAGAGAGAATCACTAAAAAAAGAGAAATCCAATGCGATGAATTTAAGAGCCTCTGAATACAACAAAAATCAAACAGCTCTTTAGAATGCAGAACGTGGGAAATCCATTGTCAAATCCTTATGAAATCCTTCAATGGCCACTGAATATGCTTTTATTAAACAAGAATGTAATATTGTGTGAAGAAGACTGAAGGGTGCTCTCGAGCCGGCAAGAACCTAGTTGTGCCGATGAGGCGAAATCTCGTAACACAATTTTAGGAGGGTCATTTGTGAAAGGTGAAAGCGCTTTCTTGCGACGTCAAAGCAACGCACACATCCATTGACATCCGGGAAAGTGATTTTCTGCCCTTTTCAACGCTCCTAGGCCGAGGCCGTAGCGTGAAATTGTTGCAATCATAGTCAAAGGGTATTAATAGATATGTAAAGATTATGTAGCGTTCCTTCCAGAGGACGTCCTCTAAGCAGAAGCTTCGAGAGCTAGACAGTTCTCAAAGGTAAATAAGTAAACTAATTTGAGGTCGTACTAATAAGGGGAGAGCAACGAATAAACTAATTTGAGGACTATAATAATAAGAGTAGGCATTTTCACAGGAGTCTTCGAAAATTATGAAATGCTACGTGCTTCCAAGTCATCGCTCGAACTCTTCTAATGTTGCACAGCTTTGGTACGTGTCGTGGATGAATGCGATTTCTGACGCAATTATTTTATTGACCGGACACAATGCAAATTAATAACAAGTTTGAGTTTTCATTGAGCTCCATTTCAGCTTTACTTCTGTTTGTTTTTTATTTTTTATTATTTTTTTGTAAAAGAGTACAATTGTAACGACACGTAATGTAACGTCGAATACTCAGGCGAGCTCATGCCGCACTACTCGGCCGCGAACGCCGCGGGTTTGCCGCGGCCGCGCCCCGAATCTTGAAGGAAGTGGGGGAGCCGACTGCGGGTGTACTACGCAGGTGTATTGTGCCAAGAATCACATAGTTCAGCGCATCTCAGTTGGTTCAGTTCCCGAGCTCAGCAAAATGTGCTAGTGTTCGTCTTAAAGACAGTGAACGCGATTGCTGGAGCAGGGTGAATGACGGTAGAGATTTCCTCGACCATGTCGCCTTACTGTGCGAGAGTAATGCCGAGAGTGAATGTACGATCGGAGAGTACAGACGGTTAGCGGATGGCGAGTGTGAATGTGCGCGCTCGAGAGTGCGACTGAACAAGCAAAAATCCTCGACGAGCCGTTGCCGTTTCCTCAACCGATTTTCACTCTGCGCTAGAGGGTGAAGTTCGGTTTGATGACACTATTGAACGCCATTAGCGGACCTGAGTTCTCAGTGCGGTAGAACTGGCGGTAGGCACCTTCTGACGTCCATACAAGAATGAGGCACAATGATGTCACCAGAGATGCTAGGTCGTCCACCTATCGTGCCCGCTGCCTTTCATTCGCTTGTGATTCGACATCTTTATTAGAGTATTTTTGAGGCTTGTTACTCTAGTAAGTGTGAATCGCGAATAAGTAGGCAGTTATCCATCAGATCCATCTGGCAGCGATCTCGAGATAAAGACGTCCTTTAATGCGAAATGTTGCGAGAAACATTTGCTAGCCTGGGGAATTTCTGATTCACCATGAGCCTATGTGGGAAGGTACTCCAGTGTTTGTGGACCAGCTGCACAAAACAGATTGTCGCTTCTTCTGGAAGGTGGAAGAACTGTATTGATTTGAGAGGAGACTTCTTCTACTGTTGAAATGTTGTTTAACTAAAGAAATTTGATGGAGAGATAATCAATTCAAGTTCATAATTTGAAAAGCTGCGTGCTTTTCCACAATCTTTTAATCACTTCGTACAATATTAGAAACCGCTAAAACAGTGCCTAACTTGTTTTATGGAGGATGATTTGCTGAGACCACGATAAGAAGTAGATGCTGTAGCATTCAGCAATGATGAGTCCTCCCAGCCTCGACAGGCCACTCAAAGGCATGAGTCCAGATCGAATCAGTGTGTTATTAAATGAAGCAAGAAAAGTGGGTAAACAGTGATGCAAAAGGCACAGAAACTATGGAAAATCCTCAAAATAGGAATGTCCTCATGTGAGGTCGACCGTAATACAAAGGGGAATCACAGCACAGCGATGAGACGGAATACGCGACGGAGCACGCCTTTTGAATAGGCTACGATACGTTTATACTGCAAGCGAGTAAAAACGGCAGCGGTTGCTGCGGTTAGAATCGCAGCAACCGCTGCCGTTTTATTATTTATTTTTTTACTTGTCGTGCACTTGCGAAGAATTCTTTGCTCATAGACCTTGCTACTTCCCTGAGAGAGGAGTGGTCTAGGGACGTGATCGTGATCAGACACGCGATCGACATGCAATGTCACTAATAATTTAAAAATATAGGCAGCACTGGCAAATATAGCAAAAGGAAGGAGGTGCCCAGTCTGAATGAGATACCTCGAGAATGCGAGTGGGATGCGCTACTTTTACCCCGCACACTTACATATGCATGGCCATCTTATGAGCAGTTCCAGACAACCAGTGATTTTCACTCATATGGAACATTGAGGCTGAACGTTGAGGCTTTTCTGAAGGCAGGTACGATGGCTGTTGGATGTGTGGTTCCCATGACGTCATTGATCGTCCGGCGGTAGGACTTGTGAGGCGTCACTAACCATAACCCCAGCACGCAGTTGAGGAACCCAGTCCACCAATGACGTTCAATGACGTCATCGAAACCGCGCCGCTCCCCAGTCTTCTCAATCGCTGCCTTTATTTCATTTGTAATCGAATAATTACGAGAGCGGCGGTCCAGCCATTAAAGTGACTGTACTGCGTTGTGCATTCTGCTACCAGATGAAGGTAATCATTTAAAGTTCCGCAGTAGCAACACAGATCCGAAAATGGAACAGGGATAAAACTTTCCACTCTCTTCATATACGAATTCTGAACATATAAAACCAGAAACTTTGAGCTTCATAGAAATAAAAATAACGGAATCTGCAATGTACCAAGTGTTCAAACAACATATGATCCACGTCTTCCATTCAGCAGTGTAAGTAGGCTCAAAACGCGTGCAGTTGCGAAGCGGTCATACAGCCGATAGGAATCTACGGGCTTGGCGCGCAGCCGTACTTGTCCATGCCATTCTCCGCATTTTTCATTGCTTTTGAATTCTTAATCATTTTTAAAGCCTTGATTTTTAGCAGTGCTATTATCACAACAAATATGGAATGAACAATTACGGAAAACAACAAGAACAACAACGTGATGCAGCCCGAACAACCGCCTCGCGTCCGCACGCGCGCTTTGATTAAGCATTGCATGCACTTCTGGCAAGGAGAGTGGATTGAACAAAATACACCTATTTTAATGTCCTATCTTTCAAAAATGAACAAATAACCGGGCATTACTCTACAAGGACAGAATTACTCTAAATATGATAGAAAAAGTATCGTCTGTTACATCAGCTGTTATTTTGACAAATCAGTCGAATATTGCACCTGCATGCTAACCGTAACAAATCTATAAAGCCATGCAGAGAAACCTGAATGAACTATTAGCACGAAGAGGAAAAAGACATGATGAAAGAATGAGTGTATGATTGTTTCTTATGATGGAGAAAGATCTGTGGAAAGAAACATGCTGCATTTGGCCAATGACCTTGCTACATTATCATCAGGTGATATTGGTGATATTGAATCACTTGATTGTGAGTCTTCTTGCTTAGGTGTAACTCCTTGTGTACTGGCCCATGGTTGAATATCGGCAGAACCCCATCGAGTAAAGAACACCACTGGCAAAAATGCTACGACGGCGGAAATGCCGAACACAATTCCCCATTCCCGTGACGTTCCAGACCTATAACTTTTCTATAGAGAGTATAAAATCAACTAATAAAAATTGTTCAAACAGTGGTGTCTAATAAAAATAGCAGGAGGGTAGGTGTGGTGAGGAGGTCAGAACGCGACGTCGCGCCTCACATTTCAAATTTCGCGCCTAGATTGGGTGTTGCATGCCCTGCGTTTGGTTATTGCATGTTTTGCTGCGCGAATACCATGCTGGCATGATCGGCGCGCAGAAGACGCTACACTTTACTAAGCCCTAAATTTGTACTGTGAGAGGTGGGCCTGTTGGCATCGACGCCAGAAAGCTTGCACCGCTTCTGTGCGCAGCGGCTTCTGTGCTAGTTCTTCCGTCGCACAGTCAGCCATCGGAATATTGCGATTGCGGAATAACTATTCACTACTTTTTTTCTACATATCTCGCTGCAACAGCGATCATCCCGCTTTGGTCACTGCAGTTACGGTACAATCTCTGGGACAATCGCTACTGTATTCCTTCTACTTACAGGCAGGATCAACCTTACGATGGCACACGTACCAACGGTAAGGCCGTGTTTGCGATTTTAGTAGAGGGACGTGTTTAGGGAGGCTGATGGGGACATATCTGAGAGAGAGGAAGTCGTTTGTGGCTGATTTTTTCAACGGTCATGAGAAAAATGAAAGAAGCATTATAGATGAAGTAGAGGAGTAGGCTCCCGTTTCTGCTAATCTTGAGGCGAATTTACAATTTACCCCTATTTACCACCCCCCCCCCCACCACGGTCGACGGACCATATACTCAGCTTTAAGCTGCCTAAATCCGATGCTGCTGTCCGCGCTCTCTCGCCTTATCAGTCGCTGATGACTACTGTGGTTTCACACATTCAAACTATTGCCACACAGTAATGACTCGCCCACCATGGAGTGCCTCCACCCTCCAAGGCTTAGTCCAACGGCTCTCACCTCCTCCCTTAGGATTTGGAGCCGAGCCCTGCGCCGTTCTCTATATGTCTGTGCTCTCCGCCATTCGTGGCAGGACCATAGAAGAAAGTTCAAGTAGTCCGTAACCCCCCCCCCCACTCACGACCTGCTCGACGGTGATTTTGGATGAAATAGTGGGCGGAGTTGAGCTATGTCGACAGGGTCTAAAATGCTATGGGGCAGAAACTACGGAGAAGAAGCAGTCGAAAGTGGTAGGAGACGTATAGGGGAGCCCTAAAGGGTGATGGTGATGATGGAGAGTCGTATCGAGCCTCCCTGAGCAGGAAGAGGTTGGAAAAGTACCAACGCTATGGTTGACTCTGATTACAGTACCTACGGAACAGGTATTGAAATTGTTACTCTGTATAAAATAAAGCAATAACTCACGATACTATATAACTGGAGATCATTTTGTTTATAATAGAAAACACGGCAACAACAGCAAAGGCAATTCCCGTCACAATACCACTGTAGGCTGGTGCTATCTGCACAAGAGCCGTCTGCACTCCGGGTGTGTGCATACCTGAAATATATACACGTTACACATGAGTTTTTCAGGCATTTTGAACACTGTCAAAAAGGAGAGCTTTTTGAAAGCCAAATAATGACGCAATCGGAAATCGGAACTTTTTGCTGGTATTAGAAAATGCGAACATTCCATGAAAAGTTCAGGCACTCATAAAATGGGAATGTAACACATGTAAATGCATATTAATGTATTATATTATATATTATGTTATATTGTACGTATTAAATGGTACAGTGTACTACTGAAGGAAGAAGCCGGAATTCGGAAATCGGAGCACGGAACTTTACATTTATGGTGTGAATGATGAATAAAATAAACTTCAAAATATTAGACTTACCAGCAAAACCGTTAGCTAAACATAGCACAACGACTGCTGCTGTCGTATTTCCATTTGATCCAAGCCAAGGGGTCATACCCACACAAATCGCAAGACCCAATGAGCCAACAAAGTTGAAAAGTTTGCAACAAGCTGTGGGTCCTGCAAAGAAATACTATCAAGTCATGAATTCCCTGATTGAATCTTACAGAAAGGCATGGGTGAGAAGGGAAGGCGGTTCTCAATAAAGACTGGACTAACCTAGAAGCGGTGGTTTCCTTGCTGTGAGCAACGACGCCAGAATAGATGAAAACGTCTTGGAGACGAATAGAACAATCGAAGGTAGCGATGAGATCATACCGTTTACGACATTTGAAAGACCAAGTACATCCGAAAAGTACTTCGGAAGAAGCTAAATGTGAGATAACTCGAGAGCTCTTCGGTTTTCCAATCAAATCATAAAACACTTGAAAAGGGAGGGAGAGGAGGGAAGGCGAGGGCAAAAGGGAGTTACATGGCACATGGCGCAGTTATAAACTTAAAGACATAGGAAGCGACAAAGTGCATGACGTTTCCGTAGGCATAGAGTGGGGCAATCTTTGATTTTGTGGCCTTAAGACCGGACGTCATAAGTCGGCGAAGGAACAAGCGATGAGCGATCGCGATCGGCTCCATCGCTTGTCCGTCGCTTGCCAATCGTCTGGTCGAGCAATTGTCAAGCGATTGCGCAATCGCTTGCAAAGTGGCCAAGCGACGGCAAGTGCTCGGCTCGATCGATACCGCAGCCGAACTGCTATTGACTGGGAGCGGGGCCAAATCGCCCGTGCTTGTGGCGCACACTTGGCGCAATCGCTTGCCAATTCGCTCGACCGAAGCTTCGCCTGACTATGACATCCGGTGCTTTACTGCGCTCGTTTGGCGCTACCGTCATCATCGTTGAGCGCTACTAGAATACTGAAGGGAAATGTATCAAATACAATAAGCTCACCTGAAGCATAATAACGAGAGGATACTCGTGGCATACTAGTGCAGCGACAGCCACGTACAATGGAAGACATCGAGCAAGTTTACCCCAAGGTGGATTGCCTCGATCCGTGCGCTTTCCAAGCTTCTCCTCGTTGATTTTTCGGGTAATATAACGTTCTTCAGGCTGAAAACTCTCCATAGAGACAAAACTTCCCGAGTTCAAAGAAGTGGAAATGACTCACCTTAGAAACCAAAAAATGTTTTGAAGGTTTATCTGCAGACAAAAATAACCATACAATAAGTATCACAACGCCAATAACAGCAGACAGATAGAAGATCGCTGGCCATCCAAATGTTGCCGGATGCTCACAAAATAATCCGCCAAGCGGTAATATCAAAAGGGTTCCTTGAAAAAAAATGCATTTACATATTAAACTTGCAAAAATATCGTCACTAGTCCACTTTCCTCTCTTTTGAAAGTAAGTGCACCAAACGGCTAGGGTACACATATTCTGTGTGTCTGGCCCTTCACGAGCGTTTACAGTATGCGTGAATTTTTGAACCCCTAGCGTCGAGAGTAGCATGGCCACTTTTGGTGCCAGGGTAAACCTTCAGGATGGGGCAAGCCTTAGAATTGGATGGTATCCCCCTCCCACCAAATGGAGGGGACCTATATTTGTTTGGTTTTTTAAGCAAAATGAGGTAATTCGTAAAAAGCGCTCACCTATCTGTCTGCCACCGGTGACAAAACCCACAGCAAACGGTCTTTCCTTCGGTGGGAACCATCGGGTGATCATCGACGAAGCCGAAGGGAACAGAAGGGCATCACCTATGCCAGTGATGATCCTGAATTTCTTTGCCTTCTTTTTTTTTCTTGATTATTTCTTTCGTCTAGTGAGATCATATTAAGATCGATATTAAGTAAAGCCACTCGAAGTTCTCCTTTGGGCTCTTTCGTGCAAGCCCTCTCGAAATTCTTGAATTTTTGTAGTATGTGGGGGCCGTATTGACCGCTAGAATTGTCTTCACGTTCGAGTTGTGACCCATATAACCCCAATAGTTGCTCGGCAGATCCTCAGATATGATGGAATAAGCAACCACCTCGAATAAACTTTTGAGAACTTCAGTGATCGAGCTAAAGGGCAACCGTTTCCTAACCGCTCGTTCAGAGGAACCTGTCCTAACTATAAGTGATGACGTGCTACTATGAGCAATTTCTAGTAGTTATTCTGTAGTTCAGATGAAAATTCTGGAAGCTCGCAATGAAATTCCGATGGGATAACCTTGATTGCCCAAACTCCTAAAAATATAATAGCTCCAGTGGTTACCCGGGATGTGAAACTAACCGGGAGAATACATCAAACCAGACTCCTGTGCCTTTGCAACGATTGGGTTGGAGACGACATTTTACCCTATAACCCAGAATAACCAGAGCTTTCTAGCCCGAAGTAATCTTTCGCTACTGGCGTTCTCGCAGAAGCTCAATAAATCAGTAAAAAGCGCTACAGGTAGCTGATCTCGAAATTCTAACGGGTTGTGCACGTTCTTTTGAACGGAACGACGAATACTGACTGATGGGAAAGTTTTGAATTGATTTTTCTTCAGAGTTGCTCTCTCTAAAATGTGGACAAGTTTTCTTTATGACTTATATTTCCGCCTTTTCATTTTCTTTTCATTTTATGGGAACGCGTGAGAGAATTTCGCATTCAAGGCCATTTTATTCAGCAGAAGCAAGCTTACTTGCAACGGTTGAGCTTTTCAGAGGTATTAGATTGTTCAAATATTGGTTTAACTAAGAACCCATTTGGCAATTTGGTGAACATGTTCAGTAAATGCACTTTTCTGTGCATTCTTAATGAGCTCATTGAAGATGGTGTTCGGGTATCACCCAAAAACTCCATCCTATGTCAGGGATGATCCCTAATTGCGGTAGTAACGCCCATTTTCTAGAGTTTCTTACATGTGTACCAAACACTTTCAAGCAGGGTCAACCCTACCGTTGTTACTTTTTGAAGAATTTTTACGACCCCTCTCCCCAAGGTGGATTTGATACGACCTCCTTTTCCACACCTCGACCACCATCATCGTCTCTACAGTATTTAATTCTGAAACCACTAAAACCACCAAACTCCGCCCCCTTGTTCCCCTAAAAATGCCGTCGAGCGGAGGTATGTACGCGCGCTGAAACGGCAAATTTTTTTCCTGCGCCCCCTCAACTCACCCAGCCTACCTACCCATAAAAACTTCAGTTCCACCTCAAACTCACATGTGATTTCAAGTGACTGAAACGGGTACGACCCCCCTTCTACGAACTCAACCAAGTACGACCCCCCCCGTTGTTACTAGTAACAACGTAGGGTTGATCCTGCTTCCAAACCAGGCTAGGTATGCTCCTTATTGTGTCTAGATCCGTCTTCACTACTGGCATTACAGCCTGTTTCCATGTCTTCGTCTCGACTTTTTCTTTAACCCATTCGCGACCGCGCAGGATTGCGCAATAGCAGCAGCGTCAGAAGATTTTTCTTCAATAAAATCGAGTGAAGGGAGATTTCCTCTGCCTAGGGCTGGCATAGATGAGCGAGGGTATGAAGATTATTTCCACGGAAAAAAAACTTTCCAAATTCCATTTCAAGCCCTGCAGCCACAGTAATACCATTGTCCCGAGTGAGAGCTTTGTCAGCCACCGGTGGCTGACATTGCCATGAATGGGTTAAAAAACGTAATGAGCTGAGCTTTAGCGTATTTACCACCACAGACAAATCTAGTGTCAATTGGCCGACAATGGGGTGACGAAAGAGTTGCTAAGTCAAGGCAGACTTCGATCCGGGATTTGACCCCTTGGCCACGCGCCTACTGGGTGGCACCACTTGCCAATGCATCAGCCCTGAGTCGATTTGACCCAGTATATAAAACTACTAGAAGGCATAAAAATAAAGAGGTAAAGAGGTAATTATTCCATGGAAGAAAGCTGAACGGCATTTGGAGAAGCCCGAGGATTGAATAATTAAATAAATGGAAGATAAATATCAGGAATTAACTTCTCAGCAACCTGCCCAGGATCCCTCACAACCTTATCCTTAATGTCTAATCTGTCGAAAAAATTTGCGCAATGCCATTTGAATTTGAAGATTCATCCTCAATAAAATCTAGCAAAATTGAATGCTTTTTTCATTACCATTTCGACGCTGCTTTATTCCGCACAAAAAGTTGTGGTATAATTGTACGAAAATGGTGAATAATGAAGCGTTTAGCGCTCATCACCTATTCCTGGAGGGCATGTCCGACTTTCCACACCCATGGGCGTCTAATCCATGTAGCCTCCAGTGGCAGACTATAGTGCTAAATGCTTGGACCAACGGGTACTGGAGAAAAATACTGAATGCGAACGTAGTGCGTCGAGCTACTTTGGGACTGACCAACGTTAAAGTCAGGGCTCTCTCCTACCAGGGAAGTTACAAGGCAAATTGCCCAATGTCGTAAAGAATGGCCTGGTTGGGCGGAATCTACGAACCGATGAATGCCAACTATGTTTATTCCTTACCTACCACGTTGGGCTCAGGAATTTCTAGCCATATCCCTATTGCAAAAAGGGAAAAGACTGGCTTTCAGATGAGCCTGCTATTTTTCACGATTTGTACAAGGTAGAGCACTTAAAATGGTCGGGTCCCTTGAGTTCTTGTGATGTCGCCGCCGTCATACGTCAGCTTACACATGCTATGCGCAAAAACTGTAAACGAACTGAAAAAAAACACGTCCACAGAGAAAGTGAGCGCAAATTCTCCCACTCAAAAACTTTTTAGCATGAGTAAATAGAGAAACAGCTAAAGGATCTGCCCTTTCAAGATTTAAAGAAGTCATGTTTGATGAGTGCTGAAGTGCTTTTTTTTATCGAGCCGTCCTGTCTAGAGGTAATCATTTTTTGAGGACCTAACACAAGGTCTCATTACATTTGCTCAATAGTACAAGTAATCAGATACCCTCTCTAAATAGACAAGATTTCTTCAAACAACCGAAAGGATCGCAGCTAAAAATTGGTTGCACAGAGATAGCGCGGTAGAACAATTTTCGTGATGGGCCGTAGCGGTATGAAGCCTAGGATATCTATTCCCGCAGACACCTTGGAGAGGTTGTTAAAATAAAAATTTGAATAGGCATTGGGTAAAAAACCGTGATAAAGTGCCTATTCACCTATTCAATTCAGAGGATTTTGAAAGAGAACAAGTATCAAAGTTTCTGAATTTGTAATTTTTACTGGTTAAAAGTTTACTTTCTCGCTTTCTACTGGTTGAAGTTTTACTTCACGCATTATTCTTGGAAATAACTGAATAGGACCACATTGCTCATCTTGGAAAATGGGACATGCGTAACGTAAATTTAATTAGGATATACCAACTACTCAACAGTCAGCCTTTGTAAGTGTGAATTCAGATAAGATATGTGATGCGGAGTCCCCGCTAGTGTTTGGTCCATTTAGCGACCCGTGTCGCATAGTAAGAAGCAATCATGAAAGAGTTCTCCAGGGATGTTGTTGAAAAAATAACGGATTATTTGAAATTAAATTTTTAGGCTATCATTTTACCATTTCAATATTCTACATTTACTGCCTATGCAGTACCAATCTCAACCCTTCATTCGGCTTGAAAATTTCAAGTAGTCCGAGGAAGGAACTCGAGAATTATGAGGAGGAGACGTGACGGTATAGAAGGGGGTAGGGAACATTTTTGGAAAGTTTTCCGTGACGCGTGATCCTTTTGCTATGAGCACCCCCCACTCTGATTTCACCGATGGGTACCTCCGCCTCCGCACTGGTACCCGCTGGTTGACATAGGTAACCGTGGCAGGACACCAAACCAGGGTATGGCAAGATACGTTTCAGAATGATGGGATTTCCTCATAATTGTCAGTGGTAAGTGGGGCTGCTATGGACAGCCTGGCTTGTAGAATCGGATCCGATCCGCGCCAGCGAGACCGTTCGCCCCTCCATAATCGGATGATGAATAGGACGACATTATATGGACTGATATCTATAGTATCAACTGGAATCTTGGCCTCGATTACTTTATAAGCCAGGTAAGCCAGGAACAGTTTCAAATATCCGTGCGATGATTGAATGAGTGCAGAGCGCATCATAGGATTCGAACGCCGGAAACCTCTAACCTTTGGTTAACCATGCCTCCATCCAGGAATACTTCAAGAACACGGGAGCATGTTTCCCCTTCTTAACAATCTACATGTCTAAATGAGAAAAGTTCCAAAATTGGCACACTTCCAAGTTGCTGTCCTCGTCAAGCAAACATTATTGTTCAGAAACGTTTAAAGAGCAAAGGTAAATGACCAAGGGATGACTGGTTACTCAACAACCATTCGATGAATGGCCGAGGAGCAATGTATCAGTGGGTATGCCTAGATAAAAAGTTTGCAAATTTCAAATGGCATTTTGTCACGTAGCCAACTATGACCGATCTTCAGCGAACAGTGCCGGCACTGGATGGGCGATTACTTAGCCCTGTCCAAGTCTTTTGAATTCTTTTTGTTTGTTAACTGCTGTTGAGCAGGTTAGCCGATCGATGAAAAGCTGAGTTGGAATGAAATGGAGCCCCGGTAGCGTAACTGGTAGTGCACTTGCCCGAAAAGCGAGAGGAGCGGATTCTAGTCCCGCCTGGGGCGGAAGTTTTGTTCACAAACCAGCATTCTTGTGAGACCTGTTCAGGTCGTCATGTACAGGGCTCAAAACTCAGATTGTCATAGATGTTGCAAAATACGCCTGAAAATAACGATGGTCCAGGAGGAGAGGCATCCCCATAGAAACTCAATTTCCAACAATTCCACATAGGACCATGAAATCTGTGGGAAAGTGCTCCAATGTCGGCTTATCGCATCGTTACGCGCTAAGGTAAAATTTCCTTCCAAAACCTCTACGATTTTGGATGCATGTCAAATGCACGGTGCCTCCTAAGAGTATCCATCAATACTGTCCGCTTCCAAAGTGATTCGATTATGTCAACCGCTAGTTCCTCTTCCACGGATCGAGGCTTCCCTGCTCCCGAAAAAGGCGTAAATAGAGGTTCCCGGTCACAGTTTATGAGCAATGAAATCTGTTATCAAAGTTAAAGAGTAAAAGTTTTATCTTCTAAATCAGGAAGTGCCACTCTAAGCAGACCATGGCACGCAATCTGCCCCAGATGAGGTATAGCAACAACAATACGTTCTAGGGATCAGCTCGATAGGACCGGCCAAACAGAAGGAAAGTGAAACTAACAGGATATGCTAGTGATGGATGAGACCTCACAATATGCAACAGTCAGAACAACGGATTGGTCAAAAATGAAACGCTCCCCCCCCCGTTTCTGGGTCACATAAGCAGTCACAATAATCCCCTGTCTGCACACTTCTACGCCCGCTCCGCGGCCGCACGCGGCTGTTCCCTATGGTCACTAAGAACTGAATGGTCAGGGAGCTGTGGGTGTTGTATAGCGAGGTGATGAATTAACGACACATAGAGAGTATACACTTGTTTTGAAGCAGTTTCGTATACATGCAAGAAACGTAACTGAAAGTGAATGTAAAACCGGTTCAAACATTTCCTGTCTGTTCTGTGTGTTTCCACTAACATTCATGTTTTCAAGTTTCTACTACTAGACGTGTCATACAGACTCTTTTCATGTTAGTGTTGGAAAAGAAATCGGTATGTTTACCTGAATACGAAAACAAGCCATGGTGAAGTTGGCGCCACTGATGGTATAAGTGAATTTGAAAGTATCAACAGAGTTATAGCGACCGATATTGTCCATTTACCATTCAAACGATCTGCTTGCCATCCAGC